TCAATCGATATCCGATCATTATTTTATGCATAATTCTACTATAAATACTTTTGTTCTTGCACTCCTTACCCACTGCTGCATCCTGCTACATTCCTTCGCGCGCGACGCCCCTCTCACCGCGACGCGACCATTTCGTTCCTAACGCACCACACCCCTTTTACTCTACTATGAGCACACAGGCACACACATACACATATACACACACGCACACGCATACACACATACATGCACTGACACATCCACAAGAACATACACAGAACAACACACACAATAACACACAGCATCACAAACATATACATACACGCACACACATACACGCATACACACAACACATGCACATACACATACACACATATACACACACACATCGACACGAAAGCACATACACCGTAGATACACACCGGCTGTCAATAAAAACACATTGAAATTGAATACAAGAGTGCAGATATTGAAAATTGGACTGCCACAAGGAGCAAAAAGAAGCAAATGCTAAAGAGAAGAAGCGCCCGTCAGGAGGAAAGAGTAGCACCAAACCGGAATCTAAGGGTCCATCGTCAATAACAACTAATGTGCACACCTTCTGGAATAACGTGCTCTGCGCAAGACCGCGCGCCACGCGCTCGCTCACTGCTAGACGACCACATTTTTGCCATTTTCTATCTTCTGCTCAAAGGTCAAATGCTTGCAATAAAATTCCATCGTCAGACTAGAAAAAGGCCCTTCCAATATCAATAATGAGGTTGTAAAACGTCGCGTCAACCGACCGCTCTCCAACTGCCTGCTATGTGTTGAATGAAATATATTGTCCATGACAGTTCCGCCTTTCTTCGTTTTATGTCACGGAAAGGTCACTGTACGAACTGGGTGTTCCTGCTGAATCTGGTTCTACATAGTACAATCGTGCACGGGTCGCTTGCTACCGTACACGGGGGGTAGCCGCAGAAGAAAGGGCTGCCAGTTGTTGCTTGCATTGTAACATTGTCCATATTCTTCTTGAGATTTTAGGCCCCCTGGTGGGCTGTTTTGGTCTTGCTCTGACTCGTTTCCAATCGGGGAGTAGGGATTTTGTGCAAACAGCACGATCATTGGAACGAAGGAATCCTGTTTTCACCTATTGTCAATCAAAAAGCAAGCATGGTCTATAATATTGTGTCTTCAACGTTTCTCCTATGTTCCGATGCTGCTATTCAAAAACTGCTAACTGAACTTTCTAATCTTCGCTATTTACAGAAACCTCACTTCTCTTCGTCTCTAACACTGCGAAGGAATACGGTGTGACATGGTTGGTTTCACATTATCTTTAGTGTATACTACAGACGATTCTTCAATTTTAATTTGAAATACCCCTTATTTGCCGTAACAGCATTGATTTGTCTTGAAGGAGCGTAAAATTTCTTTGAGACATTACAATCGGCAGTAAATAGATTGATTTAGGGCAAAAAGAAGGCATTTTTGGACAAGAAGAATGCTATTCACTACCGTCTTGTCCCGAAAACGGCTACGGAAAGTGCTCCTGATGAGAGCAGGCGGTACATTCTTGACAATATCTATAGCATCCTTGATTCAGTTGTTGAAGTAAGCCCTGTCCTTTTTAGAGTTACGTTGACAGAAGAAGAATTAGAGGAAAGGCACAAATATGGTATCTACTTCGATGATGACTATGATTACATGCAACATTTGAGGGATATTAGAGAGGTTTGTGGGGTGGATGTCAATTTCTTGCCGGAGTGATCGCGATTTCTCCTTCTTCTCAGACAGGAACGTTACAAACGTTGGAAGAAGCCGCCGAACAAGAGGAGAGGTTCATTTTACGTGCGCCCAAGATGCCACCAGCTATTCCTTCAGTTCTCTTCGACGCTACGAATGTTACATTGAAAAACGATGACGATGAAGTTTTTGATGAAGAAGTTGAGAAGGCTTTAGAGGTTCGTAGTTTTGACCAGTAATTCTTCAAGGTTTTCTCTTTTCTTTGTTAATTTACGCATTTAGCAGGCTAACTGTTCTTCTGTGAAAACATGAAATAAGGAATTAAAGTTTACAAACGATAATAAGCTGACTTCTGGAAGCTTGTCTCTAATTTTGGTCGAAAGAAGTTCACTTTCGTATTCTAAAGCTTTATATATAACGTTATAACGCTAAAGTAGTATGACTGCTTAATAAATCTTCTACCACTTCATCGGATCCTCTTCCATATTCGAAACGAAACGGGCTGAAAACTAAACATAACATTCTCCGACAGTGGTCATTCCTGTGGTGAATGCTCACTTTCGACTTCCTTCAAAATTGCAGCGGCGGCTGAATGCCTCTAGGACTATACTTTAAAATGCATGGGTAAATGCCAGCATACACGATATTTTTGTTTTCCCGGACGGGTCTGAAATAAGACATGAAACAGAGGGTAAACAAAGCGATAGCAATTATTCATGTAGGATTCAACGTACTTCGACACATTAAAGAAACACAGTTTTGTCGTTCTTCTTGTATTTTTGTAATTCAGGCTAATACAAGCAGAGAGGTTTCTTTCAACTAAGTTTGTCTTTTCCCAGTAAAGAGGAGCAATTTGATGTGTGCACAGGCTTTGACTGGTAGCATTTTTGTGAGAAAGCATAGCATTTCTTAGTGTGCCTAAAATGTAAGAACCAGCAAAGATTAGGACAAAACGAGAACGCCTTTCGAACTGTGGTGCTCGTTTGCACCAGATCCACGTACTCTGTGAAGCTTATCTTCATAAAGAAATGTATATTTCATAGTATATTATCACAGTATAATCAGCAGTATTGTTCACCAAGGTCATGCATAGGTTCATTATCGATCTCGATGCCGTTGCATTGGTTTATTTATTTAGCGGACTCTCTTTGTGGCATTAAATTCACTGCTAAGTTATATTCCCTTCAGGGTGATTTCGAAAAAGAAATAGAAGGAGGCCTTGAAGACGATTTTGTGAAGCTCGCCGGAGGAGTTATTGATCCTGCACCGAAAGCAGCTTACCTTCCAAGACAACAGGCTTCACACTTTGATAGCGACGAAGAGGTACTATTCAGCTTTGTTCTTTTAAACTTGAAATTTTCTCGCTCTGACTTGATCATCAAACTTTTGACAGTGTTGAATTGAACTTGAATTTTCTCCCCTTTGATAAAGTATTGCCACTACACGTAGTTTCTCTTCGAATATTTTAGGACGATGAAGAGACTGATTATGATGAAAATGATGAAGAACAAGATGAAGAAGACGAAGAAAGATCACGATTTGAAGTGAGATTTCTACTACTGTTGTATTTTAAGTGTTGTAATGTTTTTATTGAGGATATTCCGTTTCAGGTGCATCGCGATGGACCTCGACGAGAAATCGATGATCGCTTTGATCAGTTGCTCGAAGCTGACTATCATGATGATCAAATGGGTGAATTGGATGGAGATGACAACCTTATAAGTGGTGCACTTGAACCAACGGATGAACGCGTAAAAAGAATGATCAAAGAAAATCATGTTGGACCAGTTGACGATGAAGAAGTGAGTTCAACATTTAATCTAACGGTTCTCACCACAGTGTATGCTCCGATTGCTACCCTTCCTTCTCTCGTATAAAATTTTGGAGAGATTCAAAGCGAATGGAAGATTTTGCAGAGATCATCATTGAAATAAACTTTTCATTTAGGCGTCGAAAGAGTGGACCAGGCAACGAATGCGACTCATTGAATCCAATGTTATACAAGACGACCAAATCATGGAAAACGTTGAGGTATTTCTTCTTTTGAATTTTCATTGTGTTCGCTCAATCTTCGTAATTTTTTCCTTCTTTCGCAGATTCTTCTACTTTATTTCTTCAGTTTATTACAACTAAGTTTAGAAAAAGCTAAAGTTCAATTTCTTAGCGGCAAGGTACTAAGGTCAATGTCGTGCCCTCTTTTTGCTCTCGTTTCGCGTGAGGAATGTTTTCGTAGTAGGAAAGGTGTGAAAGGTTCCCTTCGGGGACGAGATGTAGTTCTTCAAACGGTCTGCAGAACTAGTGCATAACGTTAGCATATTATGGGTTACATTTTGCGGAGAACATTCAACTATCTGGAAGCATTGTTAAAAAGAACTAGAAAATCTGCCTAACAGGCTTTTTAATCACTTATGAAGGTTGGTCCTGTCCAGAAGGTCCTGTTGTAGTAGGCCTCAAACTTGAAGCAGAAACTTGATAATATTCATGACCTTGTGTTCACTTTGCTGACAATGTTTTCTTGCTCTTTTTTTTCATCCTGAGGGTTCGCTATCATCCTGATGGAATTCCATCGATTGTGATCGTATTCGACTAATGAGCTAGCTTCAGAAAACTAGTTGATATCCTTGTTGCACTATTGAGTAGCTACAAAAAGTGGAGCGTTTCATAGACAAGACAATAAGACAAAGGGTCCTGCTGTGGTTGGAAAGCTAGCTAGATGCTCCCTACTACTCCTTTGTCTTTTCTTTAAGTGCAGTTCACCTACTCTCGATCGTTTTTGATGTTTCAGTGGTATCATTTATCGACGTTCATGAGGTTTCTGAGTTCTAGCCTTGCCATCGATTGACAGCAGGCTGGGCCTTCGTGGTTTCGTATTTTCCATTACTATTTGCGCATTGTTCTTCTCACGCACGCACAGTGCTCAATGTTACGAGATTATGAACATTCTTTGAAGATTTTACCGCTCTTTCTTTTATAGCGCCTGATCACTTTTTTAGTTTCTAGAGCGTTTTCGATCAGAATTGTGGACATTTGTGAAAAGAACCTTTTATTTGGGAGTAGCATAGTAGACGAGGCTTTCTTTCGTTTGGGCATGCCTAGTACATTGGAATAATACTCATTTCTATAAACTTTTCTCTGGCTTTCAGGCGGAGTATGTAATTACTGTATATAACTAACTTATGTAGGTCGTATCACTAATTGCGAGGATGCACAACCTACCAGGGATGGATCTTCGTCGTTCATTCGCTGATTTGTTGCTCACCTTTACACTTGCTCCGTTATAGGGGCCTGTTCTCAAACTGATTGGAAAGTTTTGTATTCACCACCGCCCGGTCCGTCGGATGTTTTGATCTCATAGGCAGAGATTTGCTGAGATTGCTATGTGCTATTTTGATCTTGTCCTTTGGCCCACTCGTAATGTCCCAACTCTTATACGTCAAACTAGACCCGATTTCTCAGGTATTTTATTCAGAGCGTACCGACGGACGAAAGCGTTTGATGTATAGTAATGATAGTTTATCGTTTTCTTGTCAAAACATCTGTATTAAATTGCTGATTGATTCATCTTTGTCCGCCCGTTCCGCGATTTCTTCTCATTCACAAGTCAGCCCAAGTGATCTTCTGCTATTTCCCGTTGGTTAGAGTATCTCGTACTAAACGAATTTCATTCGAATTCTTAGTAACGCTCTATGAACGATCTCTACGATCTTTGATAAGGGTGATCTTGAAGTTCTCAACCACAGTAATCCATTATTACTTTTAGGTTGATGAATCGTCATCGAAGCGGCTCAAGTGGGATTGTGAGTCATACGCTACCCAATACTCGAACGTTTACAATCGCCCAACGCTCATTCAAAGTTGGTTGAGAATTGTCATTGCTTCAGTGTTGTGGGAATCGTTTTCTATTAAGTTATTTATAGATCCAAAAAGTAACAAGTTGTCTCGTCGCGCACTGAAACGGCTGGATCGAGAAACAATGGAGGTGGACCGTATGGATGTGGATCAAGAGGAGATGCCTAGCGATGGCGATGAAATGTTGAGCCAGTGTACGGAGGCTTCTACGTACAGGTAATTTGTTTGAAATGGTGTTTTCTCTTCAGAAGTTGGGCTATTGGCGTGTTCCTCATTAGGGTAGCCCCCCCCCCCCTCTTAAATAGAAAACAGTCATGTTGCTATTTCCGTTTTTGGTGATTTATGATAAAAAACCTGGAAAGCATATTAAAATTCAGCTGTATGCTTGCTCTTTGCGCAAATACTGGGTATAGTCGAAAGAACTGCTGGGTTTTTTTTTACAGACCTAAAGGAGAAACGCCTGAGCAGCGTCGACTTCGTAAGCAGGCTGTCAAGGAAGCACGTCGCTTCCGGAGACAAGAGAAGAAAGGGAACAAGCAAGCTTTTGCTGAGGAACACAGGAAGGTAAATTCCTTATTCAAAACTGGTAATTTGTCGAATGCTGTAGTCATATTTTTCAAGTATTTTGTTTGTTCAGGTCGCTCGGCAACAAGTCGGTCAAATTAAAACGGTTCCAATCGTTTGATTCTAGTCTGAGATGGACGTCTTATTCCTTTCTTGCTTGATGTTATTTCACGATCGATGGTATAACAATGTTTTCACTAATGCATCCGTTGTTCCATATTGAATTCATAACGATGCAAAGCTTGATGGTTGGGAGAACACAATGCATGTTTCCATCTAGTTCGAATAGAAGTTGCTTATTGTTCTATTATAGGCACATTTAGTTCATATTTTCATTTCCCATTTGTTTGATTTGTTATCGTTTGAAAAGTTTACTATGCGTTGTTGTTGGATTTATCCGGCGTTGTTACGTCATAATAAATCTATTTTTTCAACTATCTCTTAGAGTTGACGACACGGGTATGTCCCACTCTAGTGATACCGATATTTTTCGATGACGCACTGCTTACAATCATTTCCCTTGAAAACGAGTTCAGCGTAGTTGTTGGAACTACTTTTTTCTTATTCTATGCATCTGTCGGCTCATGGATTGCAGTTGACATTAAAACAATTAGAAGTTTGCTATCATGAATTTATAAGATTAGCGCTTTTGGGAAGTCTAGAACCTTCCTCTAATAAACCATTACCTCTATAAACAATTGAACTGGTCTTTGTGACAAAGCACCATTTCTTATACAGTAGACGAGTCGGTTCAATTCCTCAGCACTGCGCATCTGATTCTTAGTGTTGTCCTCTATTTGTCAGACAATAGTGTTCTAGAGCTTTCTTTCTAGGAACTACTAATTTCTTGCCTTAAGCGGGTAATTTATGCGTAACGATTTAAACTGGTTTACATTCTTGTAATCATCATTTGTATGGGCGGCAGAGGCTCAGTCTCTTGTAACCTTCAGAGCTTTATAGTCCTGGGTTACGAAAATCACCGGAGTAAGCTTAAGTCGGCACGCTCAGGCAACACAGAGCTCACTTCATATTCACCTCATCTGCCTATTTGATCATTTTTGCATTTCTTTTTTCGATTTTCGAGGAGTAATTCTCTTGCACATCACACGAGGACTACCTCTTTAGCACGAAGCTGTCCCAGAGGCCTTAAAACTATTTTGAAACATTATCTATTATGGTTGACGTAAAACAAATGGTCGGGAAGGAATTAGACTTTCCCTGGTTGCATTCATCAAGCTGCACGATACCTTTCATGGGCTAATGCCGGCGTGGCAACAGACTTCTTTCTTTCCTTTCTCATCTTCAAATTTTGCGTTCATCTCTTGAGTTTTCAGTGGACCTTTACCTTGATGTTTGACTTTCTCATTATTTGATTTCATTGAATCTTGCCCATAAATTGGTTTACCTGGTCAAACTGGAATTTATTCTTCAGATCTCCTCATCGAAAGTATTCGAAGTTGTTTACTTGATTCGTTAGTCGTTTTTGGTTCTTTCCCATGACTTCGTCGGTAGACAGGCAAGGCAAACCGTTCTTGAAAGGGCAACCCACAAAAACCCACCCTTTCGCGAAAGGCTTCTGCTTGGCTTGAGAAGTTGATGTGAGAGCCTAACGAGTTAGGTGAAACCCAAGCAATGGAGAAAAATTCGTCAAGCCATTTGAGTGTCAAACAATTTTTAAAGCAGGCTGTTACGTTAGGGGGTCAGGCCACTTATTCACCTTCTTCGCTAATCGCCCACAGTAGCAGCAAAGCACTACAAATGGCGATGTTTGGGTTGGTAGTGACCTTCACTTTCCCTCTATTTGTTTTATTTACTTTTTTATGGCGATCGCTCGCTGTTTCCTTCCCTAAAAAGTAAAAATTAGAAAGGATTGGCCTAAGTTCTTGAATCCATACTCCTTATCAATGGTTATCAGCTGCTATCAGTTCATCAGTGTTCTTCTGCGATCACTTTACGCGCTACATCACCTAATAAAATGCCAAAGTTCTTTCGATTTCACGATGGGCATGAAGAACTTAGTCTCCCACTGTGGGTCCCTTACACTTCACATCACATATCAAGCTGTCGAGGGTCTACTGCTAATGCTAAGGGTGCAACTGCTGCTGAACTCTTGCCTTCTGAAGCTTCTAATAGGCTCTTAACGGTTCCTTCCACTTTCTGTCATCCGCTCTATACACAGGAACACATGCACATGCCACCTACACACGTACACATGTAAACTCACACATGCGCACACATATACATAAATACATGCATGCATACATGCATACAAACATACATATGTACATACGCACATACATAAATATATACATACAATCATACATACAGTAACGCTCGAAAGTGTTCGGTCAAACGTTTTCACGCTTTTTCGTTCATAACTTTTTTCTTAGTGGAGCGAATCGCGCGAAATTTTGATATGTTCAACTAAGCCATATTTCATACTATCGAACACTATTTGATTGTAAAGCAGCCATATCAACGTCATTAGAATAAGATGTTTATGCGGCAGCAGATTTCGCTAAAAGCTTCTTCGCTGTGTTCGGCATTAGCGCTCGTACACTTGAGACATGACGAAAAGGAAAGGATTCCAGAAGGAACAGCATTCATATTTCAAGTTGATTCTGAGTCCAAGCCCTTTGGGATATCTGGAATATGATCAGATTGCAGGCTAATAGTGGTAAATATTCACAATATGCTACACATATCGAAATTTCGCGTGATTAGATCCAGTAGGAAGGGAGTTAGGACTGAAAAGTATGACTGAAGAAGCATTTCACCGAAGACTTTTGAGCTCTACTGTATATATACATATACATACATACATGGAAGACACCACACATACACATACACATACACATACGCATACACAATGCGCACACACTTAGCGTATTATATTAGGTTGATGCATAATTATTGCGGATTTTTTTTTNTTTTTTTTTCAGCAAATTTTACTTGAAGAAACGATAGAAATGTCTAGCAAAGACATGTTCAAATAATTGCTCCGGAACGTATTAAACATCTACGTCAAGCACTGGTTCCCATTTGCTAGGCGATCGGATTCCCCAGACAAAAAGTTTCGACTCCTGGAGGCGATCACGCCTCGACCTTGGCCATCAAGCTATCACTTCGTCGAAAGTTCTGCTCGTTAACCAATTTCTCAACGAGCAATCAACATGATAATCCATAGGAGTTTCTGTTTGTGAATAGGGCGACCGTAGAAGCAAATTCCATTCTTTATTCGGCTTTAACTGACTGTTCCATCACCGAGAAGTTCTTTGAGATCACGTTATGAGTGTGCCGCCTTCCAACGTTTCTCAAAGTAATAGAGCATACTTTGGGTAAAAGAAGATGACTTTCTAGACATATTTCTGTTCAGGAAAGCGAGAAGATTGTTTCTACAAAAATCCGAATTCAAAAGTTTCGTTTTATCGAGAGTATAGAAGCCGCGAAAAAATCCGCATTTATTATGCATCAACCTAGCATATAGTGTAGGATAAGTTGTACCCCTTCCTCTCCTCAAACATCAAAATTTTCCCCATCGCTGTAGCATTCCTCTCACAATCCGATATGAGCGCTTCAAGACCACAGCGGGTTAGTCACCTTCTAGAAGTGTAGAGTTTGTGGTCATGGAATTAGGAAGTTCTTAGTGGGCAGTCGAGTATTAGCTGTAGAGTCTATAATTTAGCTAGTTCAACTGTTGGACAAAGTGTTGATGGAATAATTGGGCAGCCGGAAAGGAACATCTTTCGGGCTTTTTTTCTATTCTCGAGCCTTAGTTCTTCAATATGAGTGCATATCATTTTACTAAGCTTGTCACGAGCAGCTTCACTGGGAAAAGCAGTGGATTTTCTTGGCCCTTCGTTAACGCCCCTAATCAAATATACAATTGAGTGACAGGGGTACGGCTGTCTAAAGAGCTGAGTTGCCCAAACAGACGAGAACGTAGTCAAGAGAATCCCAAGAGCTACACTTTCATCCACTGTCTGGATATGTTTTCAGCTTGAATTTTGTTGCTCTTCTCATTTTGCTGTTGCGCTCAAACCTTCATTATTCTTTGCATTTTTGATGGAAATAGCTAGACAATTTGAAATTGAATTTATTATCCACCAAATTATCGAATTACCGTTTGATTTGTGGTGAGAAATTACCGCACACAGATGGAAAAATTCGGTTCCGTGAAAAAATGATGGGGTTTTAATTTGTCGATAATTGCACCGAATTATAAACAGGATTTCTTTTCAACTAACTTCCTCTATTTCTGTTCTACCGTGCCCATCAAAGTTTTAAGGCTTCTCGCTGGAAAGCTGACCTAGAAAAACTTCACCTCTGATACTGATGCGAAACTACACCATGATATCGATCCTCCAGTCAAGAACTACCAATATATAACGTCACTGACAGGATAACTCGTCTTCTTTATACTTAAGAAGAGCAGATTCCGAGGACACAGAGTAGCGACGATGGGGACTAGTCCGCCTGGTCCTCGATCGTTGCCCACCGATTGGCATTATCAGCATTAACCAGTCGGATCACCTAGTTAATTAGGGTACTCCTCCTTCTCGTGTTGAACTTGGCCTACGCTCGCATCCATTTCTTATTTTGGGGCTCTGGTACAGAGAACAATAGTTATGGATTCACGGAAGCTCACACACATACACATCGACGCACTTTAGGGGCTCTCAGAAACCATGAGCTAGTCTTCTAGTATATTCACCCTCAATTTTCATACCGTTGCCTGAACCCGTTCCAAGTTTGAGTTCTATGTCCAAGAAAAAGACTTGAGCGCTCGCTCCACCCTTTGGGAGTGAGGTCCATCCTACCACCAACCTGCGGTGTTCGTGTTTTGCCACCTGCATCCCTTCCGAATTTAAACGCTTTGGGTCCAAGAGAAGAATGACCATTGTTATTAAAGTTTGTAGCAGAAAAAACGTACTCAGCTAAATTTTCCCATGAAGGCAGCTGTTTTCTCATCCTTTTTCACCTCAAAATGCTATCCTATATGAAAGTTGGGCATGTGGCGCCCTGATAATTAATTTGGTCATTATTTTGCAGATAACAGCTGCTTAGGTTCCAATTTTTCTCCGGGTTGCGTGGTTTTTTACATAGATAACACTCATTTGG